CTCCTGCATGCCCCCTACTGGCTATTGAGCCTCAAAGCCGGACATGTGCCCTGATAGGGAATTGAACCGTGACCTCCTGGTTCATGGATCGATGCTCAACCACTGAGCAACACCGGCCAGGCCCTTCACTCCTTTTGTCTAATTGGTCTAGGAGTCATACAGGATGGATTGGGTAGGGCAATGCAGAGGTAGAACCCCAGCTTGTGGGTTCTTTGAGCAGTGCAGAGGTCAGTTGATGAGCTCCTGGATTAAAATGTGGACTAGATGGGAAATGCAAAACCAAGATGACCTTTGAAGGAAGGAACAATAGCACATGGATATAGAGGATAAAAGAGAAGAACCAAAGGTGATGGACATACTGACCCACCCACGGATTGATTGATTCATTTCTTCAGCACGTGTTTATTAAGTGCTTCTTGAGTGGCTGGCCCCATGCCAGGTTCCAAGGACAGTTGTAGCCAAAATAGACATGTGCTCCACCCTCATATGGGGGTGACAAGAAAATCAAGTACACCAACATGTGTGTGATAGGATGTCAGACAGTGTTAAGTGTGGGATAAAACAGAAAGCAAGATGGGGAAAGAGAACAATGGAGACGGTACGAGTGGGCAGAAGTTGATCAGGGAGCCCAGCTGGCGTAGCTCAGTGGTTGAGTGTCGACCTATGAATCGGGGTCATGGTTTGATTCCCAGTCAGGACACATGCCTGGGTTGTGGGCTTGATCCCCAGTGTGGGTGTGCAGGAGGCAGCCAATCCATGATGCTCTCATTATTGATGTTTCTATTTCTCTCTCAAATCAATAAAAGTATATTAAAAAAATAAGTTGATCAGGGAGGGCTTCTTTGAGGAGGTGGCATTCAAATAAATGAGTAGGATTCTGAGTTTCCAAGCTTGAGATATTCTGGGAGACTAGAGAGCTACTGCCAGGAAGAATCCCTGTCATGTACCCTCAGTGTTCTATAGCTATGATCCCCCCTTTTTGCAGTTGAGGAAACTGAGGTGCAGGGAGAGTGTGGGAGCCTGTAGTCACCTGGCTGGTCAGCCCTGCAGAGTGAAATGAAACCCTGGCTCTCAGCCGGGTCCTCCCCTTCCCCTCTGAGCTTCCAGTTCCGCAAAGCGCCTGCTGTCCCTGCCGGTATTTTTAGTCTCTAAGAGCCCCTTCCTTGGGACTGCTGCTGCCTCATCATCTGCCTGACTTGCTTTCACCTACTTCCAGGCGACTGTGACGGCTGCGGGCTGCACACGTCAAGCTGTCCCTGGCTTCACCGAGGGTGTGTGTGTGTGGGGGGGGGTGGGGGTGGGCAAGGGCAGCTGAGGGTGACCACCCTCCGTGTCACGGGCAGGCTGGGAAGCCTGTCAGTGCCTCAGGGTGACTGCCAGTGCACCTCACAGCTCCCTCTTTGGGTCAATTCTAAGTAATGAGGGCGAGGGGAGGGGGCTGCGGGCTGTCATGTGTATAGGGGTGAGGGGCTGGGAGGCAAAGGTGGGGAAAGAGCAGTGGAAGGGAGGGAGGAGGGGGTGGGATTTTGTAATTTGCTTGCCAGGTGGTGTTGATTGTGGTGTGTGTGTGTGTGTGTGAGAGAGAGAGGTGGGGGGAGAGAGAGAGAGAGAGAGGTGGGGGGAGAAAGAGAGAGTGAGCATGCATACACTAGCAACCACCTCAGGCCTTTTGACCCTGAAGTCCTCAGGGCTACTTTTCCGGGCCAGGCCCCTGGGACTGCCCCATCTTCCCTGCATCCCAGGTTGCTGCCATTTTACGTCTCATCTGCTGTGCCTTTCTCTCTGTCCCCAAAGACCCGGCAGGCCCTTTCCTGGTTGGGAGTTTACTGCTACGCATTACCGGAGAATGACCCTGAGGAGGCTAGGGTGCTACACACGTGACCAGTGTGGGACTTTTCAAGTTTTAAAAATAAACCTTGCTGCATTCTTGCAGCTACTGTCCCGGGGCCGCAGAGCCGCCCGCTCCCTCTCTAGCTGGTCTCTTCTAGCCTCGAGGCAGAGCTCATCCCACCCCTGCCCAGGCTGTGCCGACTCTTTCTGGAGGTGCACACGGGTGCGGGTATCAGCGGTCCAGCTGCAGGAGGCCATGTGCAGCCAGGTTTCTGTCACTGGCCGGAGGCTATGGCAGACCACACAGGGCAGCCTCCGCTGAAGCCCACCCCCCTGGAGCTGGCTGAGCCGGGCTCATGCCCTGTGCCCTGATGCCAGGCCTGGCTGGCTCTTGAGAGACTTGAGTGGGGGAGTGTGAACAAAGGGGTCTGGCCTGATAACTGTAACTATGCTACTTGCTCCAACACGCCCATCATCTGGTCGGCTGAGGGGAGCCAGTTGGCATCTCCATTTGGTAGCAACAGAGCTGCAAGGCTAAGGAGTTGGAGGAAGAGGTCCCACTAGCAACAGGAGAGTAAGGACACTTGGTCAGTGGAGGCTTTGCAGCGGGACTGTCCTGAGTTAATGTCCTGGCTCGGCACTTAGTAGCTGAGTGACCTTACACAGCTGCCTACCCTCTCCAGTTGCCTCAGTCTCCTGATCTGTTAAGTGGAGCCCATAGTAGTGTCTCCCTCTGGGATTTGTGAGTAGCTGAGCAATTTGGGGTAAGTTACCTCGCTTCTCTGGGTCTCAGTTTCCTGGCCTGTGTAAGGGGGTTGGCATGGGCACAGAAGTGGTGAAAGGGGAGGAGGAGAGGCAGCGGAAGCACTCGGGGCCTCACAGGACATGCTCAGTGCCTGTGGTGATGACCAGAGTAACAAGCGTCGTGATATCCCATGTCTCCCCAGGCCCGCGGCTCTGCTGGTGGCAGGAGGAGGCATGACCCCGCCTCTCAGGAAGACCACGACAAACCTTACGTCTGTGACAGTAAGTACAGGCGACACCGCCTTCCTTCTCCTGCCCCTGCCCTTACCCCTGTCCCCACCATTCCTGTTCCTCCCTGCCTGTCAGCCCCCAGCCCAGGCTTGCTGGCTCCTCTGGGGCCCGCACCCCAGCTCCCATGCCTGCACCTCCCCTCAGTCACCACCTCCTCTCTGCCTCATGTTTCTGCATGAGGAGAGCAAGTGGGAGGCCTTGGGTGCTATGCTCCTCTCTCTGGCAGTACCTTCTTTGTAGCTTTTCTCTGTGTCTTTCACTCTGTCTCCTTCAGATCCCTATTTCTTTCTCGACTTCAGAGAATTACAAACAAAAGCATAACTCAGAATCCTCCAACAAAAGTCCTTGGTTCCGGTGGTTTGTCATTTGTTTCCCTTTAATTTCCTTTTTCTCTTCCTCCCGTCCTACATAGCGCAAATTATGACTCTTTCTCTGGTGATCACATAGTTAATAAATGGCCCTTGATCCACCTCCAGCCTTTCTTGCCTGATTCAGAAACATCTTTTGGACAAGCGGCTGCCTGGCTCCTGGGTGTGGGGTCTGCAGGCAGAGCTGGGGGGGACCGAGCGAGAGAGCGCCGGGAGCAGTGGTGGTGGGTGGACCAGGGACTGGTGTCAGAGGTACAGGCTTTGCTGTCAGCTGGAGAGCTTTTGTCTTTCTCACCTGCCAGAGCCTTGGGTGGTGGGTTTAAAATCCCTGCCCTAGTTGTCTTCTCACCGTATCGAGCACCATCTGCTCACTCCATGGTGAGGGCAGCACTCACAGCCGCATCCCCTGACCATCTTCCCTTCCATCTTCTCCCCTCTCTGAGGAAGCAGAGTTCTGCCACAGGGCACGGCAGCCAAGTGGCTGAGGCAGGGCCCTGGGGCAGCGGTCCCTCCCGGCGTCCCGCCCATCTCACCAGCCGTTTGCAGTCTCTGTGAGAGCAGGGGGAGAACTGGGAAGATGGGGCTTTGGGGGTACTTTGGAGGTGGTGCCATTTCCCTCCTTCTTCACTGGACTCTTGATTTCAAGAAGTTGTTCTGTGGCCAGTGAGGTGACAGCTGGTTGGAGAACATTTTGCTAGAAGACCAACTCCATGACCTTTATTTTTTTAAAAATTTATCTTTTTTGTTGAAAGTATTACAGATGCCCCCCGCTCCACCTCAGGTCCACCCCACCCCACCCCCAGGCCTGCACTGCACTATGGTCTGTGTCCATGGGTTACCCATATATGCACTAGTTTATAAGTTCTTCAGTTAATCCACTTGGCTTCTTAACACACCGTGCAGATGACATTCGTGACACAACTGCAGGTAACATCTCTATCCCAAAGCAACTCCATTTTAGGATGAGGGGAGAGCAGGGCCTGGGGCCTGATCCTTCTTGCCAGACCAGGAAGTGCCTGCTTTGGCCTGGGTCTTGCCCCCTAAATGGGGTTCATCAAAGCCCAAGCTGGTCCTGGGAAGGTCCTCAGGCCCCGCCAGAGCGGGCTTTCCGACGGTGCCAGCAGGTTGCCAACAAGAGTGCCAGCAGCTGCTTTGGAATTGGGGCTTTGCCTCGTGCTTCCTCTTTTAAAAACTTTAGTTTTATTACGTGACTTTTGTGCTGCCATAGATAGTGGAATTACTTTTTGCTCGATCACTACACCTTTCATCGGGTCCTCAGCCAACGATAGGCCCCTATATTCCCAGACACACCATGGTCCTTCACCTTCTCTCAGCCCCTCTCCTCACTCCTTTGTCACCTGTGGTGTCTCTCTCTTGCCCGGCCCCCTCTCTCTGCACAAAGTGCTTGCAGCACACCCTCTCCCCCAGCTCCGTGGCTTTGTGTAGGGCTCTCAGTGCCATTTGCTTTTCCTGTTCCCTCCCCACCGGGTCTTTTCCTCCTTCTGTTTATGCTGTGGAACTTGGAGGCCTGATTACAGGCCTGATGTGGGCTTTCTGGAAGTCTCCCTGTCGGACTTCTTGGCTCTGCCTGCACAGGCACTGCCTCCCTTTCCTCTGTCAGGGGAGTAAGGTCCACCCTGGATTACCCTTCTCTTTCTGGCTCTCTTAGGAAATTGTTTGGCAGCTCAGTGATTAATAGACTTTATTTTTATCTGGTGCCCTTCAGACATGTGATCCTTTGGGATAGAAATGACCTTTGGAGAGGTCATGAGGCCCACTCTGCACCCCAGTCCTCAGCAAGGAATGCTTTTAATAATCTCTAATGCATCCTAAGTAAAGAGGTGTCTGGTCACCTCCTTGAATTCCCCAGGGATGGTGTTACCATAAGCTGACCTTTCCTCCATGCTTCTAATAGCGCTTGTTTCTCCTTAATAGGAACTGAAATGTTTCTCTTCTATAGGCTCCCTTATCTTTTGTGCATCTTTCCCCATCAAATAGGTACGTTGAGCATTTTGTTCTGGAGGCGCTCTTAACCTCTCCTTGTATTCTCAGTTTACCTGGGGTACGTCCCATAACCTCCGTGACAGCCTGCGCTCAATTCCCTTCCAGCACTTGAGGGCGAAGTAGCGCCAAGGCTGTTTGGCTGAAAGAGTAACAGACACGTTTCCTTGTTTATTTTACACATCACTTCTTAACGCCACCCACATCTGTAGCGCGTAGAAATATCTGACCCCCCATTGCACTGTGTGCCTGTGACTCCCACACGGTCAGAAGTAGCTAATGTCTCTCTGTGTGTGCGCTCTTTTCTACTTCTGCATTTGATCTTTTCTTTGTCCATAAATCACTTTGCATTTGGCCTTATTTAGTCTCAGTAAAGATATATAATAATATGTGACTTCAACATATAGGATTCAATAAAGGCAATTTTAAAGACATTGCCCAATAGTTAAATTTTATTCTCCACAGATTCCTGATTCCTGCCATTTTTGCATCATCTGTGGTTTGATTTGCATAATCCCCACTCCATCTTTCAAGTTATTTTTGGAAATATTAGGCCACCTTGGACCCCACCACCTCCTTCCGGGTTTATGTGGAGTAGCAATAGCCATTTTTTCAGATGTGATTGTATTTAACCCTTCCTGGGTTATATTTCTAAATATAGTTGTCCTGTTACGTTCTTGGCCCAAGCTTCCCTTTCAAGATAGGTGGTTGAAATATTAGCTTAGCCGTTAACTTCAGGTGATAGATAGTTTGCCTATTGCCTTTCACTCAGCCATTGAATTTATTTCATCTCAGAGAAACATTAAATCATCTAAACATAATTTATTTTTTACCCAACCCATGGTGTGTGTGTAGATGAATACTTCATTTTCCAGCAGGTAACCAGTCTCTATTAATTATCCTGAGCCTTTACCAAGCTTAAAGATTAAAGTTCCACTTCTTCCCTTTTAGTCTCGTGCTGAAGGAGAAGTGTTCATTACCCACAAGCAAAGCCACTGAATAGAACTTTGTGGGAAAGGCGGTCATGTTTGTCCAAGTGTGGATTTGGACCATCAGCCGAGAGATCACCTAGACGTTTATTATAACGTAGGTTCCCAGGCCTCACACCAGACCACTTGCACCAGAACCCCTGGGAGCAGGCTCAGGACCCAGCATCTCTTGAGGGCCTCTGAGGGGAAACTTAGGCATACTGACTATTCAGAATGACTGGTCTATTTCATCTGAATTCGGAGGTTTCTGGGCGACTGCTCAGCCTTTTATTATTCCCCGCTTTTTGCATCTGGAAGTTCTGTAGTCTCCAGGAATTCTCCAGGCAGAGTGCCACTGGCTTGCATCACTGTTTTAGTTGGTCTCTTTAGAATCTTTCCAGTTCGTTCAGCGTTGATATAAAACTCAGCAGTCCCATATCTAACTCAGCAATCCAGCACTTGACATTAATTAACTTAATAGCTTTAAATCCTAATAGTATCATTAGCCCCCTTTTATATGTGGTATGATAACTGGAGATAGGCATACAAAAGGAATCCTCGGGTTTGGGCTACTGGGATGTTTTAAAAAAATCATTTCGAGAGTTTGCCTCTTCTCTTCCTAACGCGCCTGACCTCGCATTTTCTGTTAGCATCACTGGGGCAGACTCCTGATGAGAGACTTGAGTTTCCATTTTCTTTGTTCAAGGTGCATCATAAGAGAGAAGGTGGCAGTAAAGGGGCGAGATTCAGGGAGAGGAAGAACATTTTGTCGCTAAGCTTTAGCCATTTGGGGGCGAGCAAAACAGACATTTTCCCTTTTGCTGGGCACAGTGGAAATGGTTTGTGACGTTCCCCCCCTTCCTTAAAAGTTAATGTTAATATGGAACATTTTACATTTAAATGTTTAATTTAAAGAACATTTAACATGAGACCCACCCTTTTAACAAATTTCTGAGTGTACAGTATGTATGTTGACTACAGGTGCAGTGTTGGATAGCAGATCTCTAGAGTGTATTCATCTTGCTTGATGCAGACTTGATGCCCGTTCCACTCTTTATTGCTATGAATTTGACTTCTTAAGATACTTCATCATTGTGGAACCAGGCAGTATTAGTTTTTTTTCTGTGATTGGATAGTTCCTTAGTACCATGTCCTCAAGGTTCTTCCATGTTGTCGCATATTGAAGAATTTCTCCTTTTTAAAGGACAAATAGAGTTCCATTGTATGTACATCCCTCATTTTCTTTCTTTTTATTCATCTGTTGGACATCTAGGTTGTTTCCACATCTGGCTCTTGTGCATAGAGCTGCAGTGAACGTAGGAGTCCTAATATCTCTTTGAGACCCTGATTTCAGTTCTTTTGAATAAATACTCAGAAGTGGGATTGCTGGATCTAATTGTGGTTCTATTTTTAATTTCTTGAGGAGCCTCCGTACTGCTTCCCACAGCAGCCTCACCGTTTGCATGCTCACTGACAGTGTGCACGGCTTCCAGTTTCTCCACATCCTCTCCGGCTCTTAGTCTTTTGTTCCCAGTTTTTTTCTGATCACGGTGATGCCTCCTGCTGACGGTGCTCACAGTGTGCGGAGCACTGGGCTAAGCCTTTCACATACATGGTGTCTGTAAAGCCTCACGCTAACCTCAAAAGGTAGGGACCTCACTTTTCTGTGAAAGAAACTGAGGCTCAGAGAGGTGAAGGGATTTGTCCAAGGCCACGCAGCTGGTGGATGCTAAAGCTGGGATGAGAATCCTGGACTCTCCGGGCCTGGAGCTGACAGGCCCAGGACACCTCGCACACACTGCGGATGGAACGCGTCCTCCTGCCTGGAGCTTGGTTCTCCCTGCGCGCCTGCTTCATGCGGTGAAGCCTGCCTCACTGTTGACAGGTGGCTTCTTGGTGTCAGATTGGCGAGCGGGAGTCAGGCAGTAATTACAATGGCAGTGGAATGGAATGGATTATAGAGTTCTGAGCCTTTTAAATTCTGCCCCCCACTCCCACCTCTCAAACTGAGGCATTAGGTAGATTAATGACAAAAGGCTGGGAGCGTGACTTCTCTCTGAGTCATGGCCTGTCTTCACACGTCAGGCGTGAGTCCTGTCCACTCAGCCTCCGCATCAGGAAGGACCTGCTTCTCCCCCATCCTTACCCCACAGACATGCATTTCCGACTGGGTGTGGCCTGTGACGGAAACCGAGACCTCTGCAGGAGTCCCTCCCTTCTAGAAACCCCGTGCAGTAACCGTGTCCAGCTGGGGGCAGTGGCAGAACCGGGCCGAGGTCCCTTCCTCCTCTTCTTGGCTTAGGGAGGGAGGAAGGTTATGGGGCAGAAAGCCAAGAAGTCAGGCTCTGGCCCTGGTTCCACCCTCAATGGCCATGGCACCACTTTCCTCACTTGCCAGTGAGGCAGGTTCCTTTCTTGAGTCTTTGACTTTCCCGATCAACACTCCTTCCCTCCACGGTGGGCTCCTTTCTTCCCAGGCAGTGGCTTAACAATGAGGCTCCTCACCCAGGAGGCACGGTGTCAGACTGTGGGATATCACGGCATCTCTGCCTGGCACAGGCGCGGAGGAGCTGCAGGCTGGGAGGGCTGTGCACGGGGCAGGCACAGCTCGCACCCGAGGCAGTCCCAGAAAATCTGCTTGACTGCAGCCTCCTTAAAATTCCTCTCGGTTCCCCCATACCTGAGCGCACAGGGAGACTCAGATGACTATTGCAGTCTTATTAAAATTTTTTTGAGGGCATTAGGCTCCACATTCTCTAAGACTCATGCGCTTTTAGCTTCAAGCTGCAGTGGAAAAGCCAATAACTGCGGCCTTCAGGCTGGCTGCCCTTGTCACTGAAGGGAAGCCGGGCTCATCACTCAGTTGTCACAGCTATTATCTTGCAGGTCCTTGCGTGGGGGGTGGGGGGTGGGTGGGAAAGGCTCTGTGCCCCAGAAACTTGATTTGTGGAGCAGGGCCTGTGGCATGGGATTGATCCCTGGAGATTGAGTGCGTTTGTTACAATGAAGCTGGGCCTGTTTAAATATTTAAATGCCAGCATGTCATGGACACAGGTTGCAGAGTGTCCCGGCAGGGCTGGCCAGAGGCAGGGCCGGGGAGGGGCTGGTGTTGCTCTTTGATGTCCTCATTTCTCTTTTTCCTTTGCTCCCACTGCCTGCCTTCCCCCTCCCACTGGCCCCACCCTCTAGCATTCCCAGGAATCTGGCCCATTGGCCACCAAACCCAGGTTCGCCTCTTCTGGGCTATAACTCACATCCTCTCGAATTATTGCCTCATCCAGTTAGAACCTTGTTCTCAGCCAGCTGTTACTTGATGGGAACTTTGTGGCAAATAATTCCTATTAAGATGTGGATGACCAACAAGAGGGTAGATAGTAACAGTTGTAGAGGTTCTTTTTATTTAAAAAATTTTATAGAAATAGTATATGTTCATTGCAGAAAAATCAGAAGTTATAGATAAGCATAAAGGGAAAAATAAAAATCACCCATAATCTTACTCCTCAGAGGTAACTTACATTTTGTTTTGTTGTATACTATTTTAGTCTACACATAACACACACACACAATATATGACACATATCATTTTTATCTCTCCCCTCCTCCCCACCCCCCATTAAAAATACATGAAGAACGTATTTCCATGTCGATAAAGTTATTTTTATGATGACATTTTAGGGCTATCCAGTGCCTACGTACTGAATGCCACCGTTGGCTCAACGTTCCACTTGTGGACGCTTAGACAGTTTCAGATTTGCTCCCCATTGCAAACGATACTGCAGCTAGATCTTTGCCTAAAGCTTCGAGTATTTCCTAGAAGCAGAATTGCGAGGTCAAAGAGCCTGGTGCACAGCCTCTGACTTCTCTCATTTGAAATCACGGCGAGGGGGGGGTGAGGGTGAGGGGTGCTGGAGGGAAGCGGGCGCAGGTCATTGCCGCCCAGGTGAAAGCGAGCTGGGTGAAAGACACTGGGCACTGGCTTTGGAGTGAGAAGGCTGAGGGCAAATTGTGGCTGTTCTGCTTGTCATCTGGGATTTTAAAGAAAATCACTTGGGCCTGGGGTCTCCGTTTCTTTAGCTGTGGAGTGGGGGTGGTACCTGGTTGGGGAAACTACGTGTAATAATGAGAATATAAAGATGTCTGCACGTGGCTTGTGCTTCATGAATGTTTCTTTCGTCTTTTCCTTTTCCTTGTGTTCTCGGACTCTGATGTAGGTGGAAAGATAAGGCTGATATCGCCCGGGAGGTGACACACTGCCAGGCAGTCTTTCACTGAGTGGACAGTGAGCGCTGCAGGACGCCAGGGGAGGGAGTGGTCAGGGGGGGCTGGCTGGTGTGTCAGGGTGCTTCTCTAAAGTGCCAAGCAGGTCCCTGGGGGAGTGACAAAGTTTTGACATAGGAGTTTGTGGGAACTTGCAGGACATCCAGGAATGTCTAACAGGTATTAGCGGACGTTTGTTTCCCCAAAGAAAGTGAAGCGCTTGTACCATTGTTGTAGGTGGATGCGGGCCTGCCTCAGGGAAGGGCCAGTGAGACATACCAGAGAGCTTGGGGCTCACAGGCAACGCCAGCTCCGTATGGAGGCAGCAGCTATGCCAGGCACACACCCAGAGAGCCTGGGAGAGCCTGCTGGCCAGTCCCAAAGGTTTCCGGGCTGCCACACCTTAGGGCAACTGGTCTGACTTTTTTACCTTTCTCCATTTACCTTCCCCCCAAATATTGACAATTATATTTATTTAAAGTGTTTTTATTGTAATATTAAGAGGGAATTTATACTTTACCCTTTGAGCTAATTAAGGGCATGCTCATGTAGAACTCACTAGAGTAGGAGTCAAAGACATTGTCCCTACAAGGAAGGGATGGTGGTCAGAAGAAGGCGGTTCTCCAGTCACAAGCCCGGGTTTGAAGCTTGGCTATGTCACTTCCTAGTCATGACCTTGCGCAAATCCCAAAACCTCTCTGAGCCTCGGTTTCTTTTTCTGTCAAGGGCGGAACATAAGATTGACCTTAGAAGGTTTTCAGGAGGGCTAATGAGATTGCGCGTAAAAACAGCCCACTTCTTGGTTCACGTGCTCAGTGAGAATTTATTTTCTTCATACTAAATTAAGAAAGGGTACTTATTTTGTACCTAAGTTGGGCTCCTAGTTCTGTTCTGTGCATTGGCTGCTGGAATTGTTGGGACCAGAGAAGCAATTTGATAAATTTAAATGATCAAAAATAGCTTTACTGGGCCTGGCCGGTGTGGCTCGGTGGTTGAGCGTTGACTTATGAACCAAGAGGTCACAGTTCGATTCCCAGTCAGGGCACAAGCCCAGTTGTGGGCTTGATCCCCAGTACGGGTTGTGCAGGAGGCAGCTGATCAATGATTCTCGCTCATCATTGATGTTTCTAGCTCTCTCCCTCTCCCTTCCTCTCTGAAGTCAATACAATTTTTTTTTAAAAAAATAGCTTTAATGGCCTCAGCCTATTTTGCTAAGTGGTTAGAGTCTCAGGTTTGATTGCTGGTCAAGGGCAAGTGCTTCTGTTACAGGCTCGATCCCTGGCCCGGGTAAGGGGTCAGTTTCGTGTGGGAGGCAGCCAATTGATGTGTCTCTCTCATGTCGATGTTTCTCTCTGTCCTCTTGTCAGCTCTGGCCTCTATTCTACTTCAAGGGCGTTCAGATGCACCCAAACTCACGATTCACGGTGACATAAGTCCAGTATTTCATTTGAAAATTTTTTACTTAATGCTTCCCCCTTTTAGAGTAGCTTGTCTTCATCACATTTAAATAAATGAAATAATATTAACTTCCTCCCTTCTTTCTTCCCTCCCTCCTTCCCTCCCTCCCTTCCTCCCTCCCTCCCTCCCTCCTCCTTTCCCCTCCCTTCCACTCTCTCTAGAAACTAATTTTTCCATCCATATCCTTGGGTGATGATTAAATAAACAAAAAAGCCTTATTGAATATGTGTTGTGTTCTAGGCACTCTGGTAAGCACATTATGAGAATGGACTCACCCAGTTCTTACAACATTTAGATAGGCATGAACTATTATGATCCCCATTTTACAGACAAGGAAACTGAGATTGGAAAAATTAAGTCACACAGCCTATTAGCTGACCTGGGAAAGCTGGCCTCAGGTTCACCAGAAGTCTGTTACTGCTTCCCAGCAGGGCAGGAGAGAGTCCCACCAACACATCTAATGCTTTGGTTTTGGGAGTGTCCACAGTTCTCTTCCTGGGATCCAGAATCAGGTTATAAGGTATTTTGAGAGCTTGTTTGGAGGTTCTAGCAGGGGAGCGCAGCTACTCGTATACCGTTGACCGAAGACCGGTCCTCTCTTCGGGGCGGGGGGAAGGTCGTCCTCTTCGACCGAGCGCACAGCTTCGGGAGGGACGCACTTGGATCGGTGAGGGAGGAGGGGGACACCCGCCTAGCCAGCCAGATCAGCCAAATCAACCCTGGCGATCAATGGGGTGACAGATGTCGCAGTCAGATCGCCCTCACATTCTATAAGGTATTTTGAAATGAAAGGTTTGTTGCTTATTTCTGTTCTTGCAAGTTTTTGTTTGTTGTTGTTTTTTAAAGCCAGGATCACATTCACATACAGTAAATCCCTAAAGTAAGCAGAATGCCCTCCCTTAATGGCGACACAGGACTTCCGGATCCTGCAGACCCAGGGTCAGGGAATGTGGCTTTGAAAAGTTGGGGTGTTATACTCCGCCCCTACTCTAGCCAATGTATTTCTATCTAGAAGAATTCAGTTTAAAATAAGCATCAGGTAGCTCTGAAGAAGAAATAGATAAGCACAGGAAGGCAGCTGTGGACTTGGGGCGAGGGGTGTGGGCAGCACCTGAATGGCTGCTATGGCTGGGAGCCTACACTGTTTTTCTGTCACGGTTGAGGGAATAATTGCTTTAGGAGGCACACAGGCCTCAGAGGACCCAGAGAAATAAAGTTGTGAAATGCTAGAATCGAAGACGGAGATCCTCTGATCCAGCTGCCATGTTTTACAGATGTGGCAACCAAGAAAGGATGGGATTTGTCCACAAGTATTGGTGTCAGAGTCATGGCCAGACTCAGGTCTGCAGAGGGCCACCCACGCTGCTGCTCTGGGCTCGCAAGGGTCGGGGAGCGGGAGCTCACTTGGACTTGCCCAGGAGGAGCTTCTTGGTGCCTACCTGTTGTAGGAACGGGACCAATCTCTTAAACTTGTGGAGCCCTCCTTGGCTCTTGAGAAAAGCTGGGACATTTAAAAGTCATAGGCATTGCCCAGCTGGTGTGGCTCAGTGGTTGTGGGTCGACCCATCCACCAAGAAGTCCCCAGTTTGATTCCTGGTCAGGGCACATGCCCGGCTTGTGGGCAGGTGTGCAGGAGGCCAATTGATGTTTCTATCTCTTCTCTATCCCTTCCTCTCTCTCTAAAATAAATAAAAACGTGCTTAACAAAAAAACTCTACAAAAAATAACAAGTCATAGGGATTAACACCACCCTGAGCACACAAGTCAGAGTGAGTGGCCTTTTGTAGCATCCCCTGGGTTTTGTCCCCAGCTGAGCCATGCCAAGGCTTATCACTTGGGGCTCCTCCCCACTGGGGGGTTGGTGGTAGGCAATCCTCCATCCCCTAAATCAGTGGTTCCCAACCTTCCTAACGCCATGACCCTTTAATACAGTTCCTCATGTTGTGGTGACCCCCAATTTCATCGTTACAAATTGAACATAATTAAAGGATAGCGATTAATCACAAAAACAATATGTAATTATATATGTGGTTTCTGATGGTCTTAGGCGACCCCTGTGAAAGGGTCGTTCAACCCCCAAAAGGGTCGCGACCCACAGGTTGAGAACCGCTTCCCTAAATGGTTGAGCAGAGAGAAGACAGGATTGTCTGGCAGGTTTGCGGAGCCCCAGATGTCTATGAACCAGTCTGGTAGGGTGTGATTATCCTGCCAAAATGGACTCTCGTTTTATCTGTGTCAGCCCCAGAAGGATATAGGGTTCCACTCAGGCTGAAAGGAAGAGCATTTGGTGGAATGATTGTGGAGGGATGGGCAAGACAAAGGGACTGACAAAGGAAGGAGTGTGCCTTCCCCATCCTGAGTCCCAAGGAACGTAAGGACAAGTGGCTTCTGGGAGCTAGAGCTTGGAGGGGCCGTAGGCCTTGCACCAGCATGCTGGCCAGGCAGGGATGGGCAGGGCACAGACCCCCAGCTTCCCTCATCTCACCTGCCCCTCTCCTGCTGATGCTTCCTGCTGGCCAAACTCCCTCAGAAGCAGAGGGCAACAGCTGGGTGTAGAGATCAGCTCCAGGCAAGAGCTTGGCAAATAGAGAATGACTAAGTGCATCTTTAGCCATGTGCTTCAAAGTTGCACAGACCTGAGTTCCAATCCTGGCTCTGCCGTTTATCGAGTTGCCTCCATTCCCTCAGCCTCATGTCCTCATCTGTAAAAGGGGGTGCTGATCCTCACCTTGTGACCTGCTGTGGGCTTCAGTGTGAGACTGGGCGCCGGACTGTAAGTGTGGTGCTGTGGAGGCATCGCAGCGAACGGGCATTGCTGGGTGGGTTTTACGGAGGAGCTGTAGGGAGAGGGAAGTGACCTCCTTGGGGTTGTATGTAAGTGTCACAGGGTAGAGCTGGAAATGAGATGCGGCCCTGTGGCTCCCAGGGCCCAGGCTTTGTCTCTCGGACGCTCATCCCGTAATTGCTTTCAGTCTCTCGGAAACCACTGGCTCAGATACCCACTGCGTGCTCCAAGTTGGGCTGATGAAAATGTGCCAGAGTCATTAAGTTATCAGTGGGGAAGGCGGCCGCTTCTCCTCGGCAGGAAGGATTCTGCTGTCGGCTGCAGCAGGCTTTGTTCACACAAACTGCCCCTGCTTCTCCCTCCTCCTCTTCCCTCCCCACTCCTCCCCTCCTCCTCTTCTCCCCTCTTCCCCCCTCCCCCTCCTCCCCCTCTCCCAGACAGGGAGTGAGTGGGGTTGGGTTGGAGTGGGTGGCGTGCTGTAAATATTCTGGGGCAACACTGAAGGTATTCATAACTCCAGACGGGAGGTCCTGCCTGGAGAATCCAGCTCTGCATGGGGAGGTGGGCAAGCACTATTTCTGCAGCTTGACAGATGGATCCGCTCCAGGGGAAGGAGAGAGAGGAAGGCAAGCTGGACCTTCCTTACTGTCACAGCCCTTCCTCTCCATGCGCTCCATGCCAGGAACACACAGCCCAGGAGCATGTTCGCCAAGGTGAAGAGAAGGGCCTTGGGTTGTGCGCAGGCAGGTTGACTGGTCCCCGGGGTGATGGCTTCAGAGGTGCGTGACGCAAAGAAGTTTGCCCTGGGGAAGGAGACTGGTGGGAGGGTGGGGGCGCAGCCCTGTCTGAATGCTTCAGCAGTCTTGGGGCGCAGTCTGATTCTGCATGACAGATAATTCCAGAGTGAGATTGCTGACATGATAAAAGGAGAGCAGATGGTTCTAATACTTTATTTTCAGAATGTATCTCTCCCCATCCTCTTTTTCTTGCAACTCCATCACCCCAGACTTCAGAGGAGAAAGTACTGGAAACCCTCCTCCCCTTTTGGGTTTATTTCCTTTGCTGATCCACTTTGATGGCAGCGGTGATAACAACAGCTGACAATGGCTGAGACGCACTGTGAGCCAGGCACCGTTTACATCTATCCTCTCACGTAGCTCCCACAACCGTGAGGTAGGTGTGCTGTCATGATCCGCCCAGAGAGGATGCTGAAGCACAGAGAGGTTTAGCAACTCCCCCAAGATCGCACAGTCAGTCAGTAGCAGAGCTGGGATCTGAATCCAGGCAGTTCAGGTCCAGCCTGCCTATGTCCCCCCTGTAGATCCTGTCCCTCTGAGGCAGGGCCGACCCCAGAGCAGGGCCAGAGCAGCCCCTGGTGCTGACAGGACCACTGCTGTGTGGCTAACCACTCTGGCCAGATTTCCAAGGTTACCTCTGGGGGGAATTTTACTCCTGACCCAGGACTGATTGGGTCCTGCCAGGGTTCATCGTGGCAGCAATTACGATATCAAGCGGGCTGTTTGGAATAACCAGCCCCAGATCTCCACCCCTGGCTCTGGCAGCTTTCTAGAACCAGCTACCTAATTTGCGGGGCCTAGTGCAAGATGAAAACGAGAGGCCCTTTGTTTAGAAGTGTAAGAATTTCAAGATGGTGACAGGAAAACATTAAACCAAGCGTGGGGCCCTTCTGAGCCCGGGACCCTGTCTGAATGTGCAGGTCACATGCCCATAAGGGTTCAGAGTGGTAGGGAGATGGGATGAAATATAGAAGCTGATTTTCCTTCTCTTCCAGGCCAGTCAATCAGGGTTTCCAAGGCATTTCTTCTCATCTACATGCTGCAGTCTGAGCTGGATGCAGTTCAACCATAATAAATCTTAGAAACCTCTTGTCCCTAGGATGAAGTCATTCCAAGGACTGGGACTTGGGTCAGCAGCTTCCTTTTGGGGTCAGGCATCTTGCTTCATTATCTCTAATCCATTCTAACCCTGACTTTCTTATCCCCTCTCCTCCCCCTTCTTTCTCCCCTGAGCCCATGATCCTGCTCAAGGAGCTGCTCTAGTAGCAAAGCAGCTGTCGCCAACCGGTGGTCCGCAGACCACTGGTGGTCCGTGAGGTCCGAAAGGCTGGCGATCGCTGCTGTAAAGGACACGCTCCCCTCAGCCTCCCTGATCCCACAGGCCCATCCGCCATCAGCCTTACTCTTTCCTTCCACAGCCAGACTGGAAGGGACAGTCTGTTGGACCCGTCACTGCTTCCTCCTTCCCAGGAGCTCCCTATTCTCGCCTCCTCTTCCACAAAGTTGCAGGTTCCCTGTTCCTTAAGTTCACCTAATTGCTAAACCCAGTGGTCTCTTCGCAATCCCCATGTTTCTTGACCCTTAGGCATCTGACACTGTTCTGGCTCGTCTATAGGATGGGGGTAGGTTGCTGTGAGTGAAGGACTGGAGCAGGCCTGGCACATGGCACTCACTCGATAGTTGGCCAGGATTGGTGGTATTGCTATTGTCCTCTGGAAGCCCTACTCCTCTGTGCTGCTGACTGCTGTGCGAGTCTTTCTTAACTTGTTAGACATCAGTTTTTCTTTTTCTACCCAACTTTTAAAAACCAGTTTTCTGAGATCTATCCTGTGTCCACACCTTTTGTCTCTTTCTCCATCATCTCTCCTCTCCATGTCCATCACCTATTTCACCACCCTGCTAACTGCAAAATCCATAAATCTTTCCCAAGCTCCAGGTATGTAAGCCTGCCCAGACTGAACTCATTCTCTTCCTGCATCCTCTTACCAAGTTGCCCAAGTCAGAACCATGGGTGTTTTTATTTCTTCCTTTAGCTGATATTGAGTGCTGGCCATGATCAGGCCCTGAGCTGGTCCCTGGGACTGTCAGACACTGTGCACACACACGGGCTACCATGCTTCCTGCCGGTGGGAGGGGCACATATTGGTACATGATTGGTTCTGGGAAGGTAACAAACCAGGATCCTAATTTTGATTGGAAAGACTTCCCAGGGGAAGGACATTTGAACCAAGATCAGAAGGATAAGGAGGCATTAGCCAGGCAACTTGGGGGGGTGGGGTGGGAGACAGTTTAGGCAGAGGGAAAAGCTTGTACCAATGCTCTTTGGTGGAAAGAAAAATATTCAAGAAATGGAAAGGCCAGTGAGTGGGAGGCGAGGGCTGTGAGAAGGAAGTGAAATGTGGCCTCGGATGAGGCAGGGAGAGGCTGAGGAGGCGGATGGGGCCGGGGAGGCGGAGGGGGATAGCACATGGCCAGGAAGACTGTGTTAGTCTTTCTAGGCATCTCCTTGCTGTTTAAACTGCTTTCTACCAGATTCTCTCTCTTTAAACCCACTCCCATCCTGAAGTCCTCATTGTTTCACATGTAGAAAATTAAAATAGGGACCCTCAGTGCGGATGAAAAGTTCTGACTTAGTCAGCCGGTCCTCGGTGTTGGCCGAGCCGGTGCCCAAGTCCATGCTGTTTGCATGTCTGGGTAACATCTGTCGTCACCAGTCGCAGGAGCAGTTTTCAGATGACTTGTAATTAATCAAAACATTTCAGAAAATTGGAGGATAGACAGTGCAGAGACACCCACAGATGAAACAGGAACCTCCTGATCATCGAGGGCGGGATCGGGTGACGAAGATGGTGTTCCCATGAATCACAGTGCCCCCCAGGTTACTAAAGACTTAGCCGCATTTGATTATATGCTATGAGCGGATGAAAGCAATCTGAGAGATTTGACTAGAAAAGGGAATCAAGTTGAAAACTTGTGCTTTGTCTGCCTGGTGATATCCTGCTCATCTCTCAAGCCGCAGCTCACCCCACCCCCTCCGAAAAAAAAGCCATCCCACCCCCTCCGGGAAGCCACCCCAGCCCCTCAGGCCCAGGTGCTGGCCCCTCTTGCAGGTGCATGATTCCCTCTGGTGCATTTATCCCACCTTCCTTCTTCCTTGGCTTGTAGGCTTCCTCTGCTAGACTTTGAGCCCCTTGAAGGAGGGGAGTGGGGCTCATTTAACTATTTATTTCTGGTGCCACATGCCTGGCCCCCCATGTTAGATGGTTAATAGTGTTTTTTTGTTTTGTTTTGTTTTTTAAATGAGATGGTAGAAGCGGGTGAGGGGAAAATGAAACTCCATCTGGAGAGCCTGTGTATAGGAACCACGGGAAAGGGGTCTGGCTTCCAGGACCTTGTGCTGCCTGGATCTTTTCTTCTAATAGTGACCACAGGTCTCAGGGCAGCCTCTCACTGTCCTCGCCTGCCACTGCCATCCATTCAAAAGGGCAGTGCATGCAGGGCAGGCAGAATCAAGCCTAAATTTACCAACCTTCTAGCAGAGTGTTTTTCAAATGTTAGCATGCATCACCTGGAGGGCTAGTTAAAACACAGATCACCAGGCTCCACCCCAAGACATTGTCAGTAAGTCTGGGATGGAGCCCGAGAATTTGTATTTCTTACAAGTTCCCAGGTGATGCTGATGATGCTGGTCTGGGGACCACTCTGAGAATCTGTCTTCTAGCAAAAGGCTTTGCTCTAAAAGTAGTTACTGTCTGTGGTGTTGGGGATGCAGATATGGGAATCTTTTTGCTTCATTTTGGTTTTGCAGGTTTCAAGGACTATTGGTATGAGATTAATATGGGTAGTTACACCAGATTCTACACACTTACCTCCTCCCCACTCCAGGCTCTTCCACAAAGTGTTTCTTTGTTCATTCAGAAACTATTCAGTGAATATGTTTTGAAGGTTAAATGCATGCATGGCTACAATGAGGTGGAGTTACTGATATCAAGATGAAATCGATGTGAAGCTGTCCTTAAAGAGAGGCCCTTTAGTACAGATACAATTAATTCAAGGAGTCCAAAGAAGAAATGCCTACTTGGATGGGTAGTGAATCTCCATCACTGGACTTGGCCCAGGGCAGCCTTCTAGAGTATTCATGGGAATAACACAATTTGATAGATAATTAGACCAATGGTATTGAGATCCTGAAATTCTGTGATTAAGGAAGACAGTGGTAATTAACATAACAAAATGGCAGAAATTAAGTGCTGAGGGGTTTATAGTGGGATATCTGCAGGCAGCCGAGGTTTCCTCATGTAAATACTGATGTTATCATTCTTATTTTAATCAACATTTATTCCTTACCAACAGTATACTTAGTGATGAAATGGATTTATATCTAATGACCCCGTAATTTGCTGTTCATTGACCTCATGACATTTAAAAGGTTAACTAGAAAAAGCCACAAGGAAGCCCAGAGTTTGCCCCAGGGACCTCTTTAGGTCCCACTTCCCGAGGCAAATGGAATTGAGATGTGTAGTCCCATTTAATTTTTTTTTTTTGTAATATTTACAGCAGGGAGAGGGAGATAATGTAAGTAGCCAATTGTAAGACTTAAATGTATAGTCACTAGGTCACCAGCTTGAATCTCAGACTCTCACCTTACTAAGAAAGTCAAACCAATTGCCACATTCAGTAGTGTGAGGCAAGGGTCCAAGTCCCCCTTTCAGGAGCGTTTGGAACTAAGGGCATGGCAGACCATGCCGACGCCTCTCACCCCTCACCACCATCTACTGGGATTTGGGTACTAGGCCAGATAGTTTACAAACATGACTTATAATTCCTTTAACCACCCTTCATGGTAAGTATACTGTCATCATTTTCAGATCAGAAAGGAGGTGCAGAGAGATTATATGTCTTGTCTAATTTCTCTCAGGAAAACTCCGCAAGTCAACATACCCGTAGGTGCAAAATGCAATATTAGTGAATAGAGTGCTGTGGTGTGTCAAATGGATGCTACACTCTGACCAAGTGGAGTGCATTCTTGAACCAAGGATGCTTCAGTAGTAGGAAACATTAGAAAATCAACATAATTCACTGTCAACAAACCAGAGTCATATATGAGTAGGTGCTGAGAGGGCAGTCAATAGAATTCTATAATAAGGCTCTAAAGCAGGAATAAGATAAACTACTTAAATTTGATAAAGACTAAAAATTAGCTACATATTTTATTCGAATAAGTGAAACAATAAATCCAATGGCATTAAAATAGGAAAATCTTGCTATTTTTAAGTGTCAGGTTAGTGATTCTTACAAACTAATTAAGCTAAGAAGATAAGTAGTTTGTACAAATAAGAGAAAGAAGAGATGACATCTATTTTTTTTTTTTTTTTTTTTTGCTAATGGTTGTAATACCTGAAAAAACTAAGGGAATTTAGTAAGAAAAGAAACCCTATGAGAAATAATAAAGGAATTGGGTAAGATGGCTGGAAACAGATCTTCTCTATACGATGGAGGTCACACAGCCGGTCAACTTGGGCACCTGGAACTAGCATTTGAACACAGGTCTGACGATAAAGTCTGTACTCTTTTACCTTATGAATTATTCACACTCACTACTATAACAGAGTCATGTGAAAAGGGTTTCTTAAAGCTCACAACTTAAGATTTTTCCGCAGATCAGGTGGGGTTGGCTCTGCTGGGGAAAGGTGGGAACCTGATGTGAGGGTTGGCATAGGATTTTTATTAGAAGAACCTTGAGGCTTCTGCTACCAGCAGTGTCATTCCTCTAAGGCAGCGGTTCTCAACCTGTGGCTCGCGACCCCTTTGGGGGTCGAACAACCCTTTCCCCGGGGTCGCCTAAGACCATCGGAAAACACATATATAATTACATATTGTTTTTGTGATTAATCACTATGCTTTAATTATGTTCAATGTGTAACAATGAAAATACATCCTGCATATCAGATATTTACATTACAATTCATAACAGTAGCAAAACTACGGTTATGAAGTAGCAACGAAAATAATGTTATGGCTGGGGGTCACCACAACATGAGGAACTGTATTCAGGGTCACGGCATTAGGAAGGTTGAGAACCACTGCTCTAAGGACTGAGAGATCATTGGGTGAGGTTGGGCGTGGTGATCTGGTCTTAAGTTATTTAGCCAGACTTCTCAGGCACTGAGCATTTACCAATAGAACTGCCCCCCTTTCTTCTTGGACATATGTATGTTGCTTATTGCCCTTGTCTCAGAATGTCCATTTGGTGCTTGCAAGGACATGTTTTTAGAGATTTGGGGTATTAGGCTGCCAGGGCATCCAGGGCATGAGCTCTGGTTGCCCCACATCTACCAAACATGCCTTGGCTTCATGGTTTCCATGGTGGGAGTGGAACTCGAAATCACTGAATGTTATCCAGATCAAGCTTTTCTACTTCAGGCATAGTCAACCACAGAAAGGTAGATGAAGGAATCACAGGAATCCAAGGGACCTGGCTTCTAGTGTCTCTGCCACAACTGGCTGTGTGTTCCCAGGCAAATCACTTAGCCTTGCTGGGCCTTACTTGCTCTATCTGTGCCATGGGGTGTTGGACTGGTGTTGAACTCCCAGTCCAACCTTCAAAGTTAAAATAATCATCCCAATACCATGTTCTAATTGCATAGAGATTATCTCATCACCAACAACCCTGTAAGTACTATTATTCCATTTTTCCTCTGAAGAAGCAGGCACAGAGAGGGTAAGTGACTTGCCTAGGGTCTTACAGCTAGGAAATGATGGAGCTCTCACACAACTTTCATCTTCTACTTCCGTGGTTTTGCTTTACATGGACCCATGTTGTTATAGTGGTTTTGGTCCTGTCCAGGAAGTAAGGGATTGGGGGTGGCAAAAACTTTCTAAAGGAACCCCAGCTCAGGAATGGAGGATGGGAGTCACTACCTGGGGGAATGATGGCAGTGGCTATAGAGGTTGCTGACATTTGTGTGTTTCCGTTCTTTCCTCTTTCCTCTCTAGTCTGTGGTAAGCGCTACAAGAACCGACCAGGACTCAGCTACCACTACGCTCACACTCACCTGGCCAGCGAGGAGGGGGATGAAGCTCAAGACCAGGAGACCCGGTCCCCACCCAACCACAGAAATGAGAACCACAGGCGTGAGTTTCCAGTTTTTGGGTTGGGGCAGTTATGAAGTGGGTGGGCAGGGCCGTGGAGCATTCCTTTAATTACCTGTGGCATCTTCTGGTAATGACCGTTGGTTGGTCTCAATCTCCTGTGGTGGGTTGGCTCTTTCAACCCAGCCTCAGCTGCCCTTGTGGGGTCAGCTGAGTCCGAGGCTGAGGGTGACTGGGCTGGGGTGGCACAGCAAGCTCTGCTGTCTGAGGAAGGAAGGTGAGTGTTCAGGCAGAAGGGAAATGTCCTTACCTGGCCATTATCAGATGCCAGAGCTGCTCTTCTTTCCTCATCTCCAGATGATCCCTTCACAGCTGCTGACCCAAGCATATCCCTCGGCTCTGTCAGTTCATACAGATACTCCAGATGTCTCCTTGGCCACCAAGAGATGTAGAAGATTCTTGATTTATTGTCTTGCCTGTTATAGGGTCTACAATTTTGGCATAGGGCTCTCCTGCCTTAGAAATGCTGCCTGGAGCCTCCATGCTCTTTGCCGGAGCACTCAATCAGCAAACATGATCTGGGTACACTTGATATTTGGGATGTTGGGCTCGAAGACCCCAAATGATTCCTAGATTTGTTTTTTCGTTTTTATTCTTTCTTTCCTCAACATCCAGTTATGATTTAGGAAGTCAAAAAGGGCTTAACAGTCACCTTTTGACGTCCCTCTTCAGCATTCCTTATGGGATGAGATAATGGAACCTTGAGGACTTACTTCAAGATGTGGGCATTCTAAGATCATTAGGTAAACAGTAACTGTGGACATGCCATGTGTTTTCTATTTTTTTTTTTTCCATAAGATTGGCTGACAGGCGGTCTTAAAGTGAATAATTCAGTGTAATTAAAGGCATCAGACAGACCTTTAAAAATATTCAGACTCTAGGATTTGAGAGTGATTCCTCTACATTTCAGTCAATTGATGTTGATTGGCTGCCTTCACCAAATATTTGAAATAATTAACACAATCCTTGGCCAAGACCTTTCTTTGGATTCGTGTGGGTTTTTACCTAACCACCACCCCACCCTTCCCTTGTCACATTGCCTTCTGTGTCATTATGCTCAGGCTGCCATAACAAAGTACAACAGAGTGGGTGGCTTAAAGGACACAGATTTATTTTCTTACAGTTCTGGAGGCTGAAGTCCCAGATCAATGTGCTGGCAAGGTTGGATTTTCCTGGGGCCTCTCTCCTTGGCTTGTGGATGGCTGCCTTCCTGTTGCCTCCTCACATGGCTGTCGCTCTGTGCATGTGCACCTGCTGTCTCTGTGTGTCCATATTTCCTGTGCTTATAAAGACACCAGTCAGATTGGATTAGGGCCCCCCTAACAGTTTCATTTGAGCTTTTCTTCTTCTTCTTTTTTAATTCTTTATCCACTGAGTCAAACTAGCTAGGGCCTCAGCAACTTTTTTTAAAAAATATATTTTATTGATTTTTTTACAAAGAGGAAGGGAGAGGGATAGTGAGAAACATCGATGAAAGAGAAACATTGATCAGCTGCCTCCTGCACATTCCCTACTGGGTATGCGCCCTCAACCAAGGTACGTGCCCTTGACCGGAATCGAACCTGGGACCCTTGAGTCCGCAGGCTGATGCTCTATCCATTGAGCCAAACCGTTTAGGGCTGAGCTTTTCTTCTTGAATCACCTCTTTACTGGCCCTACCTCCAAATATAATCACTTCCTGAGGTACTGGCTTCAACATATGAACTGTGGGGGACAGAGATCGCCCCCTAAAACCTTTCATTCTTACTAACTTGCAGGGTTCCAGACTTTTGTGTTTTCTTACTTAGTGTTGTCGTATGGACAGAGCTGGAAAAGCAGGGCAGGAGGGCCTGAGAAGCTGCAGTGCCAAAGTCTGTCTTCCCTTTGGGGCGAGGTTTCCTTGGGCCAGTCAGCCTTGCCTTTCAGAAAGGAAAATATTTGCATTTCCGTGTCTCTCCTCTTGTCCCTTCTCTCATCTGAGTGGCCAAGGTGTAGCTGTGGTCTTCTGTCAGGAGGAGGCTGAGAGTGACTTTGATTGGGTTGCTGTTGGGAAAGCATTTCTTGGCCACGGTTGCTCCCTCTAAAGTATTTATTAGGTTGCCATTATTTCTCACTCCTCCAGCGCTGGCTTATCTCCCTGATATCTCCTCTCAAAGGCCAGGCATTTGTTCCTGTGTGTAGGTGCTCTCCTCACACTAAGGGTCTGGAATACTTCTGTCTGTCTCTTTTGTGTGTGCACAGTGATGGCCACAGTGGGGGAAGGCTCTGATGGCTCCTCAGGTACACTGCAGGCCCGTAGCTCTTCTTGTTGACTTCGGAGATGGGCCCTTACGTAGTTTTCTCTGTCCCCCAGGATTTTCTCACACACTCTCTGGGGTCAGTGTCTCCTGCTTCCTCAAGACCTCACCTTGAGGCCAGACGGCTTTGCTCGGCGAGGAAGCTGTGTCTTCCCTCCTTCCTTCCTTCCAGATGGAGACACTTCCTAACAGATCTCATCCTGACGCTTGTTCTCCTCTCCCTGTGGGTCTGTTAGTGAGCACACTCGCTCCAGCCCCTCTGAACCTTTCTCTTCCTTCCCTCCTTGCTGATGGAATTGGGTTCTTCAAAAGGACCATCTGGCCCTAGCTAGCTTGGCTCAGTGGATAGAGAGTCAGCCTGCAGACTGAAGGGTTGCAGGTTTGATTCCGGTCAAGGGCACATGCCTGGGTTGCAGGCTCGATCCCCAGTAGGGGGCGTGCAGGAGGCAGCTGATCAATGATTCTCCCTCATCACTGATGTTTCTATCTCTTTCTCCCTCTCCCTTCCTCTCTGAAATCAATAAAAATATATTTTTAAAAAAAGGATCATCTGACTACCCAAGGATTTGAAACTGCACAGAAAGGAATAACTCTACCTGGCCTCCTCTGGGGCCTCCTCTCACAAGGAAGGTTCCAGAAACCTCACAAACTCCTTTTTCATGACATCTCTCAGTGCCCCCTTTGTGATTAACCTCAATTTGGCTACTGGGGAGGGTGGGGCAGAAAGGCCTTCAGTGTCCATGGAAGCTGTCCTTTTCCTCTTCCCCCATTTCTCTGGATGAATCTGAGAGACGGCAGTTTTCCCCAGATTCTCTGCCCCACACAGGCCACCATCAGCGTGCAGCTCTGAACGTGTGCTCGGTTTCCTCTGCATTCCCCTGGTGAGCACCCCCCAACCATTTTCTCGGGAGCACTAATTGCCGGCATCCTTAATACCCAGTCATTAGCTGCTCCCACTGCTTGTGGTGGGGGTGGGCTCCCATCCGTCCTGCCCCTAAATGCCACTGGGGCTGTGTGGTGAATCGAATGTGACAGCTCTGCAGCATCCTAAGGTCTCAGCTCTGTGATCCTCCCTTGGCAGGGCTGTGGAGTGGGGGAGGGAGGCAGGAGAGCTTAATCCTCGAGGCTAATCTGCAGTCCCTCAGGAACCTGCCTGGACGCTGGACGCCAGTGTGGTGGGAATGCTGACTTTTCCCTCTTTAGCTGTAGCCTGACCCAAGCTGCTGGTGAGCACTGGCCTCTCGGAAAAACAGCCCTACAGACGCAGGCGTTTCTGGGCCCTGGGCAGCGGCGTTTGCACCACCTGCAGCAGAGAGGCCTTTTGACTTTGGTCCTCCTGCTGTCCCTCGCTGCATCTCCCCCAGCTGTGTCTCCAGCACAGCCCATGGCTCATCCCCGCGCCTGCTGCTGCTGAAAGGGCAGAGTGGAGCTGGCACTGACCTTCCCCCAGCCACGCTGCCCTGTGCTGCCAGCTCAGCATTGACTGCCATTCCTCCCTTCCTCCTGCCCCCTCCCAGCTGATGCTCTCTGTCCTTTGTTCCTCTCCTAGTCTCTCATTTTCTCCTGAGCACACGTTTCTCGTCCTCCTGTAGGCTTGTCCCCTTTCCTCTGTGCCCTGGCCTGTCTGCCTCAACTATGGCCACCCCAGGGCTGCTAGGAGCTCCAACGCTCCCCTGGGGAGTGAGTGCTTTTCTGATGGGGTCTTCCCCACCTGAGCTGCTGCCCTTCTCTCCCTGTGGGAGGCTGGATTCTTCTTTCTTCCTCCATTTCTCTTACTACCTTCATCTTTCTATAAATGAAAGCACTGTGTGTGCGTGTGTGAGAGTGAGTGAGTGTGTGTGTGTGTGTGTAAGGGAGGGAGTGTGTGTGTGTGTGTGTGTGTAAGGGAGGGAGTGCTTGGGCGGGTAGGATTCTGAGGGGTGTCTCTCAGAAGCATTCCTTTGTGACTCTTTTAATGCCACTTTGGTAGACAGCCCAGGAGGGGCCAAGGCAGCAGAAAGAGCGCTAGATTAGAACTCCAAACTCCTTTGGCACAGGCTTACAAGGTCAAAACTCTCCCTGAATTTCTTTTTACCTTCTCTGTGCAATGGGAATCTGTTACAGACGGTGTTTTTAAGGTATCCTTGTGTGGGTGTGAGCATTTATGAGGGCCTAAACCTGGATGGAAAAGCTATGTGAATAAATTCAGTCTAACCCAGTCATCTGTGTGTCCGTCCATCCATCCATCCATCTACCCATCCATCCATCCATTGGTTTAGTAGCCATGCACTGTGTGCTGCCTTGTTCCCTGTCCTTGAGCAGCTCCCAGTCTTGCGTGGGCACATGTACTAGGACACGTGCAGGGTGGGTGAGGGAGCAAAGGCTCTGAGGCACACACAGTACACGTCCCCTCCATTGGGCAGGTGTGCTCTCAGGGCAGCAGCAGCACCTGGGACTTGTTGGAAATGCAGATTCTTGGCTCCAGCAGACCTCCTGAAACAGATTCTGAGGGTGGGGACCAGCAACCCGTGTTTTAAGAAGCCCTTCCGGGCATTCTGGTGCCACTAAAGGTTGTGCACCACTGCATTAGGGGATTTGCAGAGGCTTCACTAAGGAGGTGACATTCACGGTATGCATGTACAGAGGCAGGGAGGTATGAAGTAGCGTGGCGCATCGGACCATTGGGAATAGTTGGCTCTGACGGCATTGAAAGGATGGTAGACATGT